AATTTGCCTATTTTTCTATTGCACTGGGAGTGTTTATTATTTGTTTGAATATCTTCTTTGCACATCAAAGACACTATCCCTTTGTCTACATGATAAGCTTCAAAAACAAGGATTTTTTGGTTTGTTTTTTGGAACAAGTCACTTTTAGACATTAATGAGAAGTTTCTGCAGGTCATGTCATTTTCCGGGCATCAGGGCAGAGCTGCCCATGGTCTAGGGAGCAGTTGTGCCCTGTAAGGTTCTGGTGTGTGTGTTGGGGGAGGGTGAGAGGTGGGAGGAGGGGGCCACGGAGGCAGGTGTTAATTCTTGCACTGGATGGAAAGGGCTGTCACCTGTGAACTCACCATCCCAGGAAGTAGGCAGGACAGGCTGGCCTAACTCTAAGACCCTTTGCCCTTCATCTGAAATGTCTGAGGATAGGCAAGAAATGGGAGGACACACCAATAGGGCTGCCAATTTCTGATCATTTAAGCCTGAATGGGTGGAGACTGGATCTGGAAGCTCCAAGCTACATTGCTTAATAGTAGTATAGATTTTCTAGAATGTAAACACCATGAGGCCAGGGTTCAAGTATTAAACAGTTGTGGAATGAAGGAAGGAAGGAAGGAAGGCAGGCAGGCAGGCAGGCAGGCACAAATGAATGAATGAATCTAATCAAAGGTTGTGAGAGGCAGAGTTTCTGAGCAGGGAGGGAGGAGGGAGCCCTCTTACCCCTACCCCTCCTGAACGTGCTCTCTCCTCTTCCTTCCTCCTACCACATCTGAGTCAGGTCTCAGCTTTAGTCATCAGGTCCTGCCCCAGCTCTCAGAGCCCAGGCTCTCCTCTGCCCTCTAGTCAACCCACCTCTCCAAGCAGCTAGACCCCTTGTGGTCACTCCCCATGACCTGCACTTCAAGGGACTTCTCAATCTGCCTGCTCCTCTGCTTTCCTCTCCTATAAGTCCTGTTTTTCACCCTCCACACCTTATGTTCCTCCAACAACGGTTGTGGTCACATTTATTGAGCACTTCCTGTATGTCCTTTTACATGGGTCATGCTGAAGTCTTGCAATGATCTACAAGATCAACGAGACTTATTATTATCCTTATTTTATAGGTGAGGAAACCAAGACCAGAGACATCCAGGAGCTTATCCAAGGTCAGCCAGCCAGCAGATGATAGAATTGGGACTCAGAACTCACTCAGTCTGGCCCCCTGGGCTGCGGTGCCTCACTGGTGTCGTAGAGCTAACTAGTTACCAGTCTTGGAGGGTGCAATGCTCCCTCAAGCTCCCTGCCCTTTGCTCATGATGGCCCCTTCTGGAGGGCTCTCCTGTCTACCTTCCTCTACTTGCCAAAAGTTTTGCTCATCCTTCAAAGTCTTGCTTGTAAGTCACCCCCTCTGCAAAGCCTTTTCTGTTTTCCCTAGGAAGAGCTAGTTGCTCACTCTTCAGTTTCACAATTGAGAACTTTATGCTGTAATTATTTAGGGACCTGTCTCCCCCATCAAGCCGTGAGCACCCCCCCCCACTCCCGCCAGGGGACAGGGCTTGTTCTATATCTCCCTCTTGTCTAGCACAATGCCTGGTACAGATTGCATGCTCTCGAAACACATGGTGACCAAAGGACAGTGGCCTGAGGACTCCTCCCAACACTCTGTTGTGAAGGTCTGCTAGGAGTCTCTGGTGGGAAGCTGGGAGAGTGTAGGAAGTTGCAGGCCCAAAATGAAAAGTGTCACCACTGTAAGGGGCAGCTGGAGACAATTTCACTAATGTCACCATTTGGCCATGGATCAAAACTGTCCCCTCGAGATCTAGCTGGTAGGGAAGTCCCATCCTTATACCACCTCTAGAGGTTTTTGGGAAGCAGCTGTCCAACTGCCTGTGGTTTCCCCCCCTCTTGCAGTGCCAGGAATGAAACCATAATGAGAAGTGATCCTGGAAGCTACAGGAGGAAGTGTGGCCAGACTCCTCATGCTGAGAGCCTGGACTGCCCCACACAGGGCTCTTTGGACCTCAGAAACCAAGAGGTTACACGGCTTTGGTAAGAGGGTAGTTCCGGGATGGGTGGGGACTTCCTCGGGGTGTGAGGGAAATTGCTCCATCCCTGGAACTATGGGGTAAGAACTGTCCCAGTGACTCTCAGCAGCCCTGTGCTATGTTTCTCCCTCTGTGTCTGTCTCATGCAGGAACTTACTAAAGTTTCCCATAGTCTCAGGACAAATGCCTCAGCCTGTGGTCACTACATCCCAAAAGTTGGTGGACAGGATAGCAGAGCAGTTAGGACTATGGGATCTGGGGTTGGCCAGATATGGGTCCAAATCCCAGCTCACTGTGTGACCTTGGGTCTTTCACTTCACTTCCTTAAGCTCCAGTTCCCTCATCTGTAAAATGAAGATAAATAAATTTTAAAACATCAAAATTAAGGATTTGTTCAATGGAGCAAATTTGTTCAAAGGAAGGCACAATGGGCCAGTTATTTGCAAAGTGTGTTCCCCGTACCATCAGGTACTTGAGTACTTATTCGAAATGTAGAATCTCGAGCCTCAGGCCTGCTCTACTGAGTCAGAAACTTCGGGGCGTGGCTCAGCGATCTGTGTTTTAGCAAGCCTTACAGAAGATTCTGGTGCATGGTAAAGTTTGAGAACCACCGCCACAGACAAACTGGACGTGAGCAACATATTGGGGATGATATTGGGAACATCAACAACCAACGAGACATTAATATCTAAAATTTACAAGTTACCTCTGCAAATTGACAAGAAAAAGATAGGAAACCCAATAGATAATGGGCCCAAGACAGGAATGGGCAGTTCACTGAAGGCGAAGCCCAAAACCCCGACAAGTATAGGAGAAGATTCTGAATCTCATATAATCAGAGAAATTCAAACAATGAGATGCCACCTTACACCCAAACTATAGGCAAAAATTACAGTCAGATAATGTAAGAGCTAATGAAAATGTGGGGAGACAAGCATCTTTCACATGCCATTAATAGGATTTAGTGACATTTAAAACATATATGTGTTCCACTCGGGTATAGGGTCCAAAGAAGTTTTCACATAGGCTCATAGGGTCATGTTCAAATCTGTTCATCACAGTGTTGTTTGTGATGAAAGGAAGTTGGAAGCCATCTGGTTGCCATCATTGGGGTGGGGGAGGGAATAATTAAAACCATGGATGCTCAACTTGGAATGCTTTGCAGCAATTTGGTGCAATAAGCTAGACTTTCCCACAGCAACGTGGGTCTATCTTTTTTTTTTAAGATTTTTTATTTATTAATTTGACAGAGATCACAAGTAGGCAGAGAGGCAGGCAGAGAGAGAGAGAGAGAGGAGGAAGCAGGCTCCCTGCTGAGGAGAGAGCCCAATACATGGCTCGATTCCAGGATCCTGAGATCATGACCTGAGCCAAAGGCAGAGGCTTAACCCACTGAGCCACCCAGGCACCCCAATGTGGGTCTATCTTAAATATCTATCTTAAATATCATATGATGGACTGAGAAAAGGGGAAGCAATGGAATTAGATTTTTCACACAACACCATTCATGTAGTGTAAATATACACACAAAGCGTTGTGTGTATCATGTTCAGGGACACATATCAACACGTAGGGTGGGTGTGCACTGTGGGGAGGGGAAGGAGTGTGGGGAATGAGGGGTGAATTAAAGCAAAACAAAACATCAGAGGGTGTTGAAGGACTAATTACGATGGGATGGCCATTTGCTACAAACTGAGGATAAATCATGGAACTCTGGACCTAAAGCCCTAATAATATTACTTTAAAATTGTGATCATTGTACCTGCCTCACGGTGAGTACCATGTGTCTGGCCATGGAACGCTCTGTGCAGTTTTACAAATAATTTTTTGCAGTTATGTGTGAGTCTCTGGTCTCCTATCAGGGCTTTTACTTTACTTTTACTTGTTGTCCTTACGCTGATTTCTCTGCCTCTCCAACCTTGCCATCAGGTTTCTTCAGCTACCCTGGGCTCCCGGGATGGTAGCTTGTGGAGTCTGGGGGACTTTTCATCCGGGGCTTGAGCCCAGAACCAGGGTGCAACCGATCCATGGGGAACAAGTCCTATTTCCTCTTCACAAACTTCCCCAACGGTCTTCTTACAGCCCATCCTCTCCTCAGTTCCTACCCCACTGCTCCCAGGTAAGACAGGCAGGACCAAGTCTGAAAGTATTAGGTGTGGAAGGGAACAGCTTTTATTGGGTGCCTATCAGGTGCTGGACCCAGCCCCAAGACCTTGACTTTTGTTAGTCCCCAGAACCACCCTGAGAAGTGGGAGGCGCCCACCTCATCCGACAGATTAGGGAATGGAAGTCACCAAGAGGTGAGAACACTAACCAGACAGGAGCCCTAGGTCTGTCTGGCTCTAAATCCAAGATCTAAACAAGCAACTCCTTCAGAGTTTTAGGACCAGGACTGGTACCCCAATCATCTACTTCTGACTCAACCAACGGCCAGGGGAGAAAAACCTCTGTTTCACACTGATGATCCAATTCCTGCTATCAGGGGAGGGGCGACCCTGACACTTAGAGTCCTAAGAAGACCCTCGACGCTATTTCGTATGGTTAGCTTGAGGTAATCTCTAAGGAGAAATAGGAGATTCCCTTAAGTTCCTTCCCATTATTTGAACCTTAATTTCTCAAACTGTCAAAGAGGAAGAACGCCTGGGCTCTGGGGCTTCCTTTCCCAGTCTGCCAGCAGGTGGAGCCCACCCTTCATCCCTCCCTTGGCCTCCAGAAAGTTGCAGGAGTGGGAGGGGAGGGAGGGAAGATGAGCGGTCCTGGGGCCGCGCCTGGGGCTAGCGGGACAAAGTGCGGCGCTGCCCATCCTGGTCTGGCAGAGAGGCCCGCTGAGCCTCCGGCGACTGCCCGAGACTTTAGAGCCCCTCCCCCTGCAGGACATCCTTGGTACTGCAGGGACTGGAGCCCCGAGGGCAGGGACGGACACGGGGGTGGGGTAGTGGAGGTCCGCGTCCGGTGCGAAGGGGTCCCTGGGCCGGGGGTCTCACAAGCAGGAGCCAGTGAGACGCAGCCGGGATTGCGGCCCCACCGTCCCCTTCGTCTGAGGCTACAGGTAGTTTTCCTCCGCCGCGTCCCCCCCACCCGGGGAGTCCCTGGCCTCCTCGTCCGTGCTTTCATCATCGTCGGGGGCCAGCGCCTCGATGTCGTGCGTGATGTCGGCCAGAAGCCGGTGGAAGGCCTGCGCCTCGGGCCGCTGGGCTGCGCCGTCGTAGCTGCGCACAGCCGACGCCGACGTGGAGCTCATGCTGCGCTTGATGCGGCCGAAGCTGTCGGTGAGGATGCCGCCCTCGCGGATGCCCACGCCCTCCAGGAAGCCCTCGAAGTAGCCGATGTCCTGGTCGGGGATGAAGGGCCGCATCCCTGCGGGGCCGAGAGGCCGGGGGTACTCCTCGAGGTTCAGCCCTCCCCCTCCCACATCGGAGCCACCTTCTGCAGAGATCTGAGTTCAAATCCCTGCTCCGCCCGCTGGCGGTGGCCTTGCTCACATTCCAAACCGCTGCGCCAGAGCATAATGACCTAATGCTCTGCACAGAGTAAACGCTCAATACAGGTTAGCTTGTCGTTGTGACTAACGGTTACATCCCCATTTATTAGTTGTGTGACCCTCATTAAATAGCTATTCTGGGCCTTACTTTCCTCGCCTGTAAAACTCAGATAATAGCACCAGTTCTCCCGGTAGGGTTGTGAGGAGGTGTCTGGCACACACTGAGGGTCCCGGACAATTCAGCTCGTTTTGCCTCCATCTCTACTCATTAGCCATGTGACTTCAGTACTTTGCTTCTCTGAGCCTCAGTGTCCTCATATGCAATATGGGGGCAATAAGTTTCCATTTTCCAAAACTGACGCATTCAAGGAGGGTAACCGCAAAATCCCTGTTAGCTTATTAGTATTATCATTCCTGATGCTATTATTAGCCTTCCTTACCAGCAGAGTGAACTTGGACAAGTTCCTTAGCCTCTGCAAGCCTCAGCTGCCTGTGGGGTGGATGGGGAGAATCACTTCCTCGCCCAGTTTTGCTATGAAGGTGAATGGTTATACTAGTGCTCTCTTCTCATGTGCCGTGACAGCAAGCACGTCTCTCTTCTGCTCTGCCCCTTTCTCCTCCCTGAGATGGATTTCACGATCTTGGCTTTATTGGAGGCTGAAGAATAGGAGTGAACACGTCTAGCCTGATGCCTGATTGGGAATGTCATGGACTATGTAGGGGCCTTAGCTGACCTTGGGGGGGGTTGGGGGGGGCTCACCAAGGAGGAGGAACTTGCGCCGGTCTCCATAGAGCTTCAGCAGGCCCGCACAGTAGTCCTGGATGGGCAGCCCCAGCCGGTACTCCCGCAGCAGCATCGCAAACTGCTGGATCTCAAGGGGTCCCAGTTTACTCCGCAACTGCAGGGACAAGATTCAAGATCAGTCCCAGGGAGCAACCCCCACCCAACATCTGCCTAAAAGACCCAGAGCCCTCTGTAAGGCTATATTTGGCCAAGACTTCCCTTGAAACCTTCCCATGGCCTATTGGGGAGGGGGGCATCCAGATCCTCTGGGCTGCATGTAAGCATGGATGTGGACTCAAGCTACCTGAGTTCACATCCCGGCCCCTTGGTCAGCTCTGTGGTCTTGGGTAGGTGACAACTTCCCTGACCCTTACTTTTCTTATATATAATGAGGATAATGGTGGCACTTTCCACCTTGGTTATTGAAATTTAAAAAAAAATGCATAAAAGGTGCACAGAACAGTGCCTGGTATACAGCAAACACTCAATTAATGCTAGCTGACACTTGTTAAGGCTTTCACAAGCTGGCCTCTGTTTACTTTCCTAACCTCATGTCCCGCCCTGATCTTTAATGTTGGCTTCAATTATGTCCAGGATTATTCATGAATCCTGAAATGCTCCCTGTGATGTCTCCAGTCTCCAGGCCTCTGTTTGTGCTGTTCGCATTGCCTGCCCCAGCTCACCGTGACCATGTAATCTTGCAACTGCTCGAGGCCCGGGCCGCTGTGGTCACTGCCGCTGCAGTGGGAGCCATGGAAAGAGGGTGTGGACGTGCCACTATAACACGCTTCAAATGTATCCTGGGAGCCATTGCTGCAAAGAGAGGCAGAAAGGGGAGCCCTCATTCACCTCCCTCCAGCTCCTCTCAGGTGGAGGTGGGAAGGCAAAGCTACCGATGCTCTGGGCCTGAGGCCTCATCCTAGATCCCATTTTGGCCTCTAGGGCCACACATTATCTGGCCCTGAGTCTCCCTGCTGCCTTATTGCACCCTCACTTTGTTCAGGCCACTGTGCCTTCTCTCTACTCCTCTAGGACTCCAAGTACCTCTTCACCTCTGGGCCCTTACACATGCCGTTCCCTCTGTCTGAAATGCCTCTCTCCCCCTGTCTTTTGCTCAACTAACTCCTACTCATCACTGGGGCTTAAATGTCACCTTCTTGACAACATTTTCCCTGACCCCCCTCCCGATGACTGGGTTAAATCCTCTGTCAAATGTGGTCACAAACCCATAAGTCCAATCATGACATGTGAGGCCTTTCCAGATCCCCCAATCAATGTCCACAGTGGCCTCTTGGCTGCTGTGCACCAAGCTTCATCCTGCTTCAGAACCTTTGCACTGTCTGCCCTCTGCCTAGGGTGCTCTTCCCTTTTCCTCCTTTGGGTCTCAGTTCAAGTGGCATCAGCTCTCAGAGGCCCTCCTAACTCCCCAGATGTGGAAAGCTCCCATGGCCTCTCTCTCAGCATCCTGAGGTACTTATTCTCTTTCATGCTTACCATTAATGCTTATTTCTATTAAATCATGATTTCATCATCTTCTGTGTCAGACACTCTAACTGCGCTTGCACGATAAACCATGCAAGGGAAGGACCTTGGTTTCTTCGTCTGTTAAGTACCTGTTCAGTGCCAAGCACAGGTCTCATCCTTGTCTGGCTCCCCACTGCAACCCTAGCACACAGCAGTCTCTGGTGCAGGAAAGATACTCAAGAAATCTTGCTTAATAAAAATTCAACCTGGGGCACCTGAGTGGCTCAGTCAGTTAAGCCACCAGCTCTTAATTTCAGCTCAGGGCATGATCTCACAGTTGTGGGATGGAACCCCTCATCAGGCTCCAAGCTCAGCCCGGAGTCTGCTTGGGATTTTTTTTTTTTCCCCAAAGATTTTTATTTATTTATTTGACAGACAGAGATCACAAGTAGGCAGAGAGGCAGGCAGAGAGAGGGGAGGAAGCAGGCTCCCTGCTGAGCAGAGAGCCCGATGTGGGGCTCGATCCCAGGACCCTGAAGGCAGAGGCTTTAACCCACTGAGCCACCCAGGCGCCCCTGCTTGGGATTCTCTCTCTCCCTCTCCTTCTGTCCCTCCCCCTGCTTGTGTGCTCTGTCTCTCTTTCAAAATAAATAAATAAAATCTTTTTTAAAATAAAAGATTTAAAAGATTCTCTACCCCTTGCTCTCTCTCTCTCAAAAAAAAAAAAAAAAAAAAAAAAGTTAACCTGCCTCCTGTTTTCCAAATTGTTCCAGAACCATCTTGCATTATTACCTCCAGAAAAGCAGTGTGACATAGTGGTTAAGGGATGTGGACCTGGAGCTAGCCTGCTCAGGTTCAAACCTCAGGCTTACAACTTACTAGCTGTTTGACCCTGGGCAAGCTGCTTAGCTTCTCTATTCTTCAGTGTTTCCATCTGTGAAATGGAATGACAAAAATTGCTGTCACAAGAACTAGAGGATTCTGTACAGCACCTGGAGTCATGGACTATAAGCAGTAAATGAACAATAGCCACTGTAGTGTTGCTACATGCGTTTTTTTAAAAAAATGCAGTGCTTGGGGCCCTGGCTGGCTCAGTTGGTAGAGCACATGACTCTTGATCTTGGGGTGGTGAATTCAAGTCCCATATTGGCGGTAGAGTTTATTTTTTTTAAAAAATGAAGTGCTTTATAGAACAGCACTAGGCACACAGCAAGCTCAAAGGTTAGCCGTTATCATGACTGCCATCTCTCTGGCAGATACCAGGTTGTTTAAGGACCGGCCCAAGTGCACACAGTATTAAGAAGGTGAATATATTGCTGCCAAAGAGGGGGGAGGGGAGGTCAGGCGTATATTACAGGCAGAGATTGCTACCAGTCAAGCCTAAGGCCTTAGTAACAGAACCAGCATGACCAACTGGTCCCCCAGTTTGCCTGGGACTTCCCTGGTGTTAGTACTGAAATTCCCATGTCCAGGGAATGCCCTCAAGGCTGGAAGGGTGGGGGGGCAGGGGGGCAGGGGGCAGGCTGGTCACACTAAACAGAACCTTGAACAATGTTCCTGGGTGAGTTTGTTATGCTGCACTTTCCAGCCTTGCTGGCTGCTAGTGGTGGCCACGTGACCAAGTTCTGGCCAATGAGACATAAGCAGATGTTGTCAGGTGGGACTCCCAGCAAAGCTCTTTACTGAGGCCCCTGGCAGGACACTGTGATGACAGGAGCTTTGACCATCATCTTGGTCCATGAGATGACTTTGAGGATGGGAACAAGTACTAAGGAGGGGAGAGAAGAGAGGCCTGGACCCCTGCTGACCATAAGGCCATAAACGCCTGATCTATTTTATGTAAGAGACAAGGTGGAAAAAAAGCTATCTTGTTTAAAGCTCTATCTTTTTTAGGGTTTTCTATCACATGGAATTAAAACTAAAGTAAACCCAAGTCATTTTTTGGTATTAGCTCTGACTTGGGCTCTGCAGACCACTATGTCTGGAAGACGAGTAGAGAACTACAGGCCTATGTGGGCCCTGTTCTGGGTTCTGGCCCTCCCCTGGGCCTCTCAGAGTCTGGGTTTGGATCCTCTGAGCTCACTAAAGCCCAGAGAGATCGGTTTACCTACCTCCCACCCTCAGAGTCCATGGTGTCAGCACAAATCGAGGTGGGGTCATTTTCTCCCACCCTCTCTTGCCCACAAGGGGCACAAGAATGCCCAGAAGAGTAACCTTAATTATGCAGGGGTGGGGGGGGGCAGGACGGTACCCACAAGGAGCTGCAGCAGCTGAAGTCGGCGTCATAGGCGTAAGTCCCATCCGTGCGGCAGCTCTCACCTGGGGTCAGCAGACAGGGTGGCTGTCAGAGGCTGCAGACCAGGGATCGACATCCTCGGCTCCCTGAGGCCCCAACCTCAGCCCCTCCCTACGGCTGGGCTGGTGGCTGGAGCATGGATGGCCTTGTAAGCAACCGTAAGGGTATTAGCTTTTACCCTGAGTGAAATCAGGCAGCGGCTAGAAGATTCTGACCATGATTCCTACCCCCACCACCAACACACAGACAGCCTTTGGGGGGCAACTCACCCCCTCTCCTCGCCCTCAACTTCCCCAAGGCTGGGACAACACCACCTTCCTGCCTGCCTCACAGGGGTCTTGGGAATAGCAGGTAAGGTAACAGGTGAGGTAATGTTTTGAAAACTGTTTGAGGCAAGAAAAAGAAAAAGAACTTTGAGGGAAAGAACCCCAAATCTTGAGAGGATAGAAGCACTATTTACTGAGAACTTGCCCTCTACCTAGGCCTGTTACTCTCTGAATCCACTAGCCTTACCCTTCGGATCTTGGCTCACTCAGTGTCACTTCCTCAGGAAGTGACTTCCCAGGTGAGGTGGTTTCCTCAGTCTGTGTTCTCAGAGTACAATGTGTGGCTACATTTTATTTATGCAACTATTTAATTACTGTGGGCCTACCACAGCAATGCAAGCCTTGTGAGAGCAGGGGCACGTCTGGTTCTAATCCCCAGTATATCCTGGTGATAGCAGGTGCTTCAGTAAATATTTGTTGAATAGAATGAAGTTGAAATATTTGTTGACTTCTCTAATTTACCCATCATCCTGTGAGAGCTGATGAGCCATCCCAGCTTCCCCATAACCACAGCCCACGGATGGGAATGCCTCCAGAAGGAAAGAGCTCTGTTGCTGGAGCTATGAAGGAAGGGAGCACACTGAGGGGGCTGTGGCTGAGGAAATACACTTAGTGGCCTTGAAGGCAGCATGGGACTAAGGCTGCTGCAGATAGAAGCTTTAGAAATCAAACACATCTTGGGTGCCTGGGTGGCTCAGGGGGTTAAAGCCTCTGCCTTCAGCTCAGGTCATGATACCAGGGTCCTGGAATCGAGCCCCGCATCGGGCTCTCTGCTCAGCAGGGAGCCTGCTTCCTCCTCTCTCTCTCTGCCTGCTTCTCTGCCTAGTTGTGATTTTTGTCTGTCAAATAAATAAAAAAAAATCTTAAAAAAAAAAGAAATCAGACACATCTGGGTTTGAATCCCAACTCTGCCATTTACTCGCTGTGAGACCTTGAACAATTTATTGACCACTCTGAGCCTTAATGTTCTCATCTGTAAAACTGGAATCATAAGGCTTCAGAGAGTTCTTTCATCTACTCAAAAAATACCTGTCGGGCATCTGTGATGTCCTTGGTCCTGTGCTAGGCACAGGGGATAAAATGCGAATAGGACCGACAAGTTTGCTATGGGGATTAAATAAGACTTGGCACATTGGTACTGTGCTTGGCACACAGTGGGTGCTCAATAAATGCCTCTATTAGTCTTATTCTCATTCTAGCCCTTGATTGCATTCAAGGGTGGGTCTGAAGATCTTGGGTTTCACCTAGATTCCTGGTGGAGTCAGACAGAAAGTGCCTGTGTTTGGATTTTTGCAAAGCAAGGGCATCAAAAATGAAAGCAGGGAGAAAAGTTCAATTTTGAGGGGCTCATTCTGAATCTGGCAGCCAGAACATCTGTGAAGAAGCTAAGTTGGAGGTCATCGTGAAAACCGACATTTTATTTTAACTACATAAGGGCAGCAGGAGTGGGGGAGGGGGACCCCTGTAACTGTGGTAGAGATCAGGACCCCTAAAGGTGATCATTGGCCCTGATTCCTGGGGCAGCCCCCCTCCCCGGCCTTATGAGTTGTTTCACAGGGAGGAGGGCAGCCAGGAGTTCCCATACTCACTGCGGCTGCATAGCCATGGCCGCTCAGGCGTGGACGTGTAGTGGTAGCCGGCCCGGTCCACGCACTCAATGCTCTGGTCCCCGTAGATGATCTGGAAGACCTGACAGATGAGCGCACAGGACTCCTCGGCAGCATCCTGGCCCAGGGAGGAAGGCAGAGTGCTCAGGACCTCTCCAATGGCCAGGGTACCCCAACCCCTTTCACAGTGTCAGGAGGCTTGTGGGGCCATACACGCACCTATGGGCACTTTGGAGGGCACTCCCTATCAAAATTATATGGCCATCCTCTGAGTTTTGGACTCCTTTATAGAGTCCAGCAGCAATTCTAAGTCTTCTGCTCTGAAAAATGCACCCCATATTTCTAGGGGATTCATAGGACCTCCTGAAGTTTATCTAAAATAAGCCCTAGGAGCACCTGGGTGGCTCACTGGGTTAAGCATCCAACTCTTGATCTCAGCTCAGTTCTCTTATCTCACAGTCATGAGTTCAAGCCCCACACTGGGCTCCATGCTGGGCATGGAGCCTACTTAAAAAATAAAGTAAAATAAAATAAAATAAGCCCCAGTTTAGTTAAATTTACCAGTAGGAAGTTGAGGCTCAGAGAAGTGAAGTGATTAGCCAGGACTAGAACCCAGGACTCCTGATACATACTAGGAGGAGGAAGAATTACATGTATAAAAATTTTAGGCTCAACATAGTTACTACTACTGGATGCCATATTTAGGTATGAGCTTCCTGGCACCCAGGGCAAAAATGGAAGTAGGATAAATACATAAACTTCAGTCTCTGATAGGAGGCAGGAATTTCAATTCTTGGGTGAAAGTTTCTCAAGACTGCAAATTTGAAGAAGAATTTGCCTTTCTAATTTACCTCTTTATGTCTTTAAGCAAGAGACCCAGAAAGACAATCACCGATGAGACCATCTTCAGGTACCACTTCCTATTTTGTGCCTCTAGAAAGCTCAGGGTATGGATTAAAATGTAACCCAGGAGAGGCAGGATTGATCCTTACAATAACCCTGTGAAACAGACACGAAAGATCCTTCTGTTACAGTTAAAGTCACTGAGGCTTAGAGCGGTCAGGTGACTCACCCAGATCACACAGCAAGTTCTTAGCATTGGTTATTATTGGCACTCGGGTTTTTTTTTTTTCTTTTTTAAAGATTTTTATTTGACAGAGCATGAGAGAGAGAGAGAGCGCGAGAGAGAGAGTGCATAGGCAGGGAGAGCAGCAGAGGGTGATGGAGAAGCAGGCTCCCTGCTGAGCAAGGAGCATGATGTGGGACTCATTCCCAGGACCCTGGGATCATGACCTGAGCCAAAGGCAGACACTTAACCGACTGAGCCACCCAGGTACCATAGCACTCGGTTTTTGTTTTTGTTTTTAAGATTTTATTTAGTCATTTGACAGAGATCACAAGTAGGCAGAGAGGCAGGCAGAGAGAGAGGGGAAAGCAGGCTCCCCACCGAGCAGAGAGCCCGATGTGGGGCTCGATCCCAGGACCCTGAGATCATGACCTGAGCTGAAGGCAGAGGCCCAACCCACTGAGCCACCCAGGTGCCGCACCAGCACTCAGGTTTTTTTTTTTTTTTTTTTACTCTAACTCCTATGCCCTCCACTGGACAAAGGCCTTGGAGAGGAGGTCAGAGAATCAGATACTCCTGAAAAACATCTCTTTATTTACTCATTTTGCAAATTCTCATTTAGTCCCATTTTAGGCACTGGGCCAGACTCTAGGGTCTCGGGGTGAATTAGATGAGGTCTGTACCCTAAAGCCCTCACAGTGCAGTGAGATTAACAGGGCACACACTGTTCCTTCTGCCCAGAATTCATTTTCCTGCCAATTTGCCTTGTTCACTCCTTCCTCCCCTTCACATTTCAGTTTAAAAGGCACAAACTCACTTTCTCTTTGGAAAGTGGATCTCCTTTCTCATTATCACTGCAATCTGTTTGTTTTCTTCTTGGTCCCTGTCCCAAGGTATAGTAATATAATCCCTATCTCTTCGTCCATTCATTCAATATTTATCATGTGCCAGCCACTGTTTTAGGGGTCAGAGATAACAGAGTGAACAATCCAGAATGCATAGGTCTCCTCTCTACAAGGAGACCAGTCTGGCTAGAGTGAAATGCATAAAGGGGGACCTAGAAAGAGGAGTCCAGAGAGGAAATGGGCTTCAGCCACCACCATAAGGTGGGTGGAGGGTGGACTTATAAGCAATTGTAAGGACATCAGCTCTTACTCTGAGTGAGATGGGGAGCCACAGGAAGATTTTGAGCAGTGATATTTTGTGACTTACTTGTTAACAGAACTGCTCTGATTGTGTGTGTTGGTGGGGGGATGGGAGACAGATTATAAGCAAGAGCCAAACCCGTGATCTAGATGCATGACCCGGATGATAGAAAATGGGGTGTGGACCTGGGGGTTGGCGAGAAGTAGATAGGTTGGGTTATATTTTAAAAATAGGGCCAACAGGATTTATTGACAGAAAGGATGTGTGCTGTGTGAGAGCAAGAGGAGCCACAAGTCACTGCCAAATTTTGATCTGAATGAGGCAAGGACAGAGCTGCAGTTAATCAAGACAGGGAGACAAAGGGAGGAGTAGGTTTGGGGGAGAAGACTGGGCTCTTAGCCTCAGATGTGTTGGGACATTGAGATGGTCATTAGCCCACCGAATGGAGAGGCCAATTGGAGAAAGGAGTCTGGAGATTTGCTGAGAGATAAAATTTGGGGCATTCTCACTGTTTTAAACACCATGAGATTATTGTTCACTAGGGTAGGTATGGGGTTGGGGGAGGGGATGGGGGCCCTGGGTTAGAGGAGAAGCTTAGACAGCTCAGGACTTGAAGGTCTCTCTAGACTGTGAGCTCCCTAAGGGAGGGCCCCAAATATGTCTTGTTCACCTCTGCGTCCGTAGCACTTAGCCCAATGCCTAGGACAAAGCTGGTGCTCAATAAAGATGGTCAAAGGAATAGAAGCAAGGGTTAATATGGAGAATGGAGGGAGAGGAGGAGAGGCAAGAATGGAAGGCTTCTGCCTTGAATGACTGCCACAGTTAACAAGAGTACAGGCTCTGAACATCCGGGGTCCCAGTGTTGAAACCACCACCACCAGTTTCCTGTGTGACCTTCCGCAAGTTACTTAGCCTCTGGGTGTCAATTTCCTCCTCTACAGAATGAGGATGGCTGTGATGTTTGCCTCTAGGGGTTAGTGAGAGAATGAAATGTGTTCGTGCTGGTTCCTTGTCTGGCACAGGTTGGCATTCCATTCGTGCTGGTAATGAGTGTCCTCGTGATTGTTACTGTGGTTGTGCCGAAATTGACGACATGGGAGAAGGAGCAGGGCTGGAAAGGGGGTTAGATCAAGTCTGTTTGGGCTGTTTTGAGTTTTCATTCCATTGGGATGGCAAGGGCAGGCGTCCAGGCTGCAGATTTAGAAACCCTTTGGCGTCTGGAGCGCACAGGTAGAACCTGAAGTCCTAGGTAGGGCCTCAGGAGGAAGAAGGGAAGAGGCCAGGGTAGACCCCAGGAACGGGGCGGGGTGGGGTGGAGGACGACGCCCTCCAAATCCCCTCGACGCGCGGGGGAGGCAGGGCGCAGGGGCTCCGGGTGCCCTCGGGCTCACCCTGTTGGCCACGGCCAGGATGACAAGGTTGCAGTAGGCGTCGGGGCTGGGATCCTGCGGGTCGAGAGGGTTGGAGCCCGGGTGGCGCCTCTCCCAGCTGCCGCCGCCGCCGCCCGCCTGCCTCCGCTCCCAGCTGCCGCCCGGCTTGCCCGCGCCGCCGCCGCCGCCGGCGTGCCGCCGCTCCCAGCTGCCGCTGAACGTCTGCCGCCGCTCCCAGCTGCCCGACGCCCGCGCCCCGGCGCGCTGGCGCTCCAGGCTGCCGCCGCCGCCGCCCCCGGCCCGGGCCTCCGCGCTCGCACCCCCGCCCCACGCCATCCGCCAGTCCAGACTGCAGATGGTGTGGCGCCGCTCCGTGGTGCCCCCCCGCCGCTTCTCGGGCGCCGCGCCCGGCTGGCCCGGGTCGCGCCCCGCGCCGCCGGGGCTGGCGTCTACGCCGGCTGGCACCGGGTCCACGCCCAGACCTAGGAGGGGCGGGACCGCGGTCAGGAGATACCGGCGAAGAGCCCCCTCCCGAGACCCGCTGGGGACCAGCGGCGCCTGGCCCTCGAGGCGAGGCCAGATTCGCCCCCCGCGGTCCCTTACTTTTGGGGCCCGCCCCCGGCCTCGGCTCCACCTTAGTCTTCCTCGCGGTCCGACCTGTCCCACAGATATCCCAGCCGGGAGCTCCGCCTCCCCGGCACACGGCCACGCCCCCAGTTCAGACTCCGCCCCCCTTCCGAGCTCCCAGCGCGCGGCTTCCCGGCTCTGCTTCACCACGCGCTCTAACTTTAGGTCCCAGAATTTGGGCCCTTCCAGCCTTAGGCCGGTGGGTCAGGCGGTCCACCCTTCAACCTCAACCTCAACCTGGGGCCGCGTCTTCTTGCGTATGGTCATGGCCTGCCTTAATCTCAGGGTAGTGTAGTCAGTCCTTTTCCATCACACACCATCCACCCTCCGCCGCCCACCCCTCCCCACTCCGGGTCACGCCTTTCCCAAAACTAGACGCTGGTTTTTTTCTCTCCCGGTTCACCTCCCGGCCCCGCCCCGGCCCCGCCCCGGCCCCGCCCCACTCGCTGTACCGGTCTTAAGCACCAGCAGGTGCAGCGCGTCGTCCTGCAGGTAGGAGGCGGCTGCGATCTCATGCGTGGGGATGCGCAGGATTAGCTCCTCGTTGTCGCGCCAGGTGAGCAGCAGGCAGCGGGCCGACAGGCTCAGGATACTGTCCTGCTCCGCCGTGGTCTTCAGCGGCAGCTCCTTCAACTGCTGCAGGGTGGGTCGGATCTTTTGGGTTCCGGAGGTGCTCGGGTGGGAGAGGAAGAAGGGGACAAGACCCAGCCCTAACCCTCCCCAGGGCCTCACCCTGGCCGTGTCCAGCAGCTGCAGGAGCTCGTCGCGGCTGGAGGGGTTCAGTGAGGAGGTAACCCAGGTGAGGTGGCCCAGGAACTGGACAGAACATGGGAGGTAGAGTTGGGAGAAGGGCACAGAGAGGTCACCTTGAAGCCTGGAATAACCTAGAACTCCTTACTGACCCAGTGTATATAGACTGAGGTAGAACTATTTGAATTAATAATAATCTGATAATAACTACTAAGGTGGACACAGAAGCCAGACCCGCCAAAATGATGCCCTAAACCAACACAATAATTCTTCATTCTCAGTTATAACTTAATGTCATCATGAACTTTAATGTTATTCAATGTAAGAAATTAACTCTTTTTTTATTTTTAGCTTTGTTCTTCTAGGTGAATTCCACCAATCAAACTTTTTTCTTCTTTTCTTCTCTATGAAATTTCAGTCCCCAATTTTTAAGTAGATTTATTGGTTAGCTCTACCCTCCACATATGGTTGCCAGGTGAAATACAAGATGCCTGTTAAATTTGAATGTCACATAGACCGTGAATACTTTTTAAGTTTTTAAAAAAGTATTTTTAGTCCCATGCAATATTTGGGACATATTAATACTAAACAAGTACTTACTGCTTTTCTGAAATCCACATTTAACCTGGCAGCCCGTTTTTGCCAAATCTAACCCTCCTACTCCCATACCAATCTTCCCTGGATAATGAGGATTCTCCACTGGTGCTCATGAAATAGTAGTAAAACCCTTGCATGACCTCAGTCCCCTCTGGCTTGCTGAACTGGGTTCCTATAACAAGTTCATCCACTGTCGGTAAAATCTCACAGGAATCTATGGCTTTGCCCATCTCTCTCCCCTGTGTTGAAATGGAAACACTGAGGCTGAGCGGGTGGAGGTCATTTGCTTAAGGTCCTCAGCATAAAGCAGGAAATAGGCTGGCGTGAACCCAGCTCTCTTTTCCCTGAGCCTCCCCTATGTGAGACAGGGCTGGTCAGGGCTTGGTGTGAGCGAGAGAAGAACAGTCCCTCCTGATGGGATCCAGAACACGCTACGCCAAAATCTGGCATCTTGGCATATGGAATATCTTTTTCTTAAATAAAGAGTAATTTTAATAGTGATAATAACAAAAAAAATATGGAATATCTTAAGCTTGAAGGAACTGAAGAAAATGGTAGAAGTGGGAAGGTTACTCTGACCTTCCCCCACCCCTCTTTCCTGAAAGCAGGAGATAAATCTCCCACCTGAAACGTCCCCTCCCTGTACCTGGAGGGAGACCTCCTTCTCACCAGACACAGGGCATTTAGGGCCGAGAAGGCTGTATACACAAACCTTGTTATTTCTTCACCTTTTACTCCCCAAGCCCAAACCCCTCTGCTTTGTCAGTTTTTCATAAATTTATTGTCGAGAAGATATAAAAGCTTCCTGCTCCGGTCACTTCTTTGGGTCTTCATTCTCTTGTGAAGGCTCTTCATGGACATGTAAACATTTAATAAAATGTGCACGCTTTTCTCCTGTTCATCTGTATTTGTTGGCTTCATTTTCAGACCCAGCCAGGGACCCTAAGAGAGTTGATGAAAACCTTACCCCTCCTTTACTCCTCACCCCAAGAGTCTGCGTTCCCTTCTCCTCATCCCACACGTACCTTGACCTCTTTCTCCAGGTAGTCACACAGCAGAATCTGAGGGTCGATGAGATAGTCAGGGGGGTAAAGGGGCATCGAGTGCAGGGGCCGGCGACTCACACTGGTCCGAAAGGCAGCCCGGCGCGCAGCCTTGGGGAACACCAGCCTCCGGATGGGGGATACAAAGCCCTGGGAACGGGGGGGCGGGGTGGGGGACAGGGAGATGTGGGGGAAAACAACAGTAACAACTGCAACTGGCTTTCTCTGAACACTTCCCCATTGGGCATTTGACTTCTTTACATAGTACCTAATTTAATTCTCATAGACTCTCAGAAGCGGTACCTTTGTGATCCCCATTTTACAGATGGAGAAACTAAGCCTCAGAGAGGGAACTAGCTGATAAGGTCACCAGGTAGTGGTGGTAGAATCATGAGAGCAGTCTGGCTCTAAAACCTCCATTCTAAACACCCAGGGGAGGGTGGAAGGCCTACTAAGGCCCAGGCCCAGGCTGAAGGAGTGGGTCTAGGCTGGGGCAAGTAAGAAAAATATTAAGATTCAATGTGACTGAGTGGCGAGTGCATAGATATTTGTCACGCTATTCTGTGTGCTTTCCGCCAAATTAGAAATGGCTAATAAGTACATTTCAGGAGAATCCACAGATACCTGCATAAAAAATGACCTACAGGGGCACCTGGGTGGCTCAGAGGGTTAAGCCTCTGCCTTCGGCTCGGGTCATGATCTCAGGGTCCTGGGATCCAGCCCCGCATCAGGCTCTCTGCTCAGCAGGGAGCCTGCTTCTCCCTCTCTCTCTCTGCCTGCCTCTCTGCCTACTTGTGATCTATCTCTGTCAAATAAATAAATAAAATATATTAAAAAAAATGACCTACAGCAAGGCTCAAGAAGCCAGTTCTGGGCTCCAGCACAGCCCAACGGAATCTAAATCTCACAGTCAAGAGTGAGCCCCTCTTTAGAGCAGTTCTCAGTGAGTGTGGGTCCTGGGTCAGCCTCAGCAGCACCAAGGAACTTAAGAGAAATGCACATTCTCCCATTCTATCCTAGATCTACTGGATCAGAGCTTGGGGGTGAGACCCAACGATCTATGTTTTAACAAGAGCTCCAGGTGATTATGATACAGGCCCAGCTCATATCTTAAAACCAGTATCTTGGAGCCTAGATTAAGTATCTGCACGTTTTGAGAAATGAGAACCAATGATCTGGGAAAGGGCGTTCCAGGCGGAGGGCTTAGCATGTGTAAACCCCGGGGCTGGCTGAGTGTGAGCCTGGAGATGTGTGAGGTCTATTGTGGCTGAATGATGAGATGAATGAACCCTTTAGACCAGCCTGATCTGGGTTTCTTGGAGAAAGAGGGCTGGGTGGGTGTGGGAGTTGGAAACTGAGGGACCCCCTGAATGGCAAAGACAGCTAGGTGAGGCGCCCAGGGAACCAGACTAGAAAACTTCTGACAGTAAGGAGGGGTGAGGATCTAGGGGGTAAAGGGGAGGACCCTCAGACTGAGGCTTTCAGAACAGAGCTGTCCTGACATAAAGAGGGGGAGGGGGCAGGCTAGGCTGGGACCCAGCAGGGGAGCAGGTAGCTGTCTCCACCTTGATAGCCAGTCTTGTAGCACAGAATTGCTCTGGCTGAGGTCCTTCTGTTTGGGGAGGTGAGGAGCAGAGGAATGGGTCTGTTGGGTGTCTGTTGGGCTCTCGGTCTGAGGAAACCCCAGGAAAGCCCTGGAAGCAGGTTGGGAGTATCTCCCAGCAATCTGTCTGGCTGGGTTTCCTTGGAAGGTATCCAAGGTACCTTGGAAGGTATCTGGGTTTCCTTGGAAGCTGTCTGTTCCAGGGAGGGCAGGCGCCACTTGAGAGTAGGGGAGACAGGTTAGGGAGCTTGAGCCCAAAAGTCTGACTGCCCAAGGGTTGGAAGGACAGTCTTTTCAGATGAGAAGAAAGACTCTACCCATGCCAGTACCTGCCCACCACCCCCACCCCAGGCCTCCCACTTTACCAGCTCCAGGGGCATCTCTCTACCTGCATCCCTCCCAAACTCCCACCTACCTTTTTCCCTTTCTTGACTTCATATTCCATGGCGAAGCGTCCCCTCCGTTCTTGCCACCCTCCTGACCATCCCCTCCACCCCCCCCAACCCCCCCACCCCCCCCACCCCCGCCATGCAGTTCCTTTGTTCTTTTTCCTGCCTGGTCGGAAACTCCACCAGCCCCGTAGTTCCTGCCCCTCCTGTCTGATAGTGAGGGGGGGGGGCGGGGGGGGCGGAGGCAGTGGGTGGAGGACTCAGGCTTGGGCCCCTCCAGCTGAAGAGTGGAAGGAAGCCCAGCCAGAGCAACTAACCAGGGAGAATGCCTCCAGCCTCCCTCCAGAAGGTTTGCTGTTGAGGGGGCTTGGGAATCTAGTAAGGCTAGGGAAGAGTCCCCCAATTTGGAGTCCTAGAATCCCAAATTCCAACCCTACTTCTGCCACTGACCTTGTTGTGTGACCTTGGCAAGGCAAGGCAGTTCCCTCTTGCACCGTCTGGGTTGCCCCCTCCTCTCTATGAGGTAGAAATAAACATTGCCTCCCTCTCTGGCTGCTGCGGTAAGAGATAAATGCACGAGTGGAGAGGGAAATGCTTCCTAAATTATGGAATACTGTGTCCAGGCAAGTTATGATTTTAAATATTAATCATTACCATTAAGGACAGCAGTATACATGGGCTTTGAGGATAGGCTGCCTGAGTTTGAATCCTGATTTTGTCACTTACTAGGGTGATGACCTTGGGCAAGTCCCTTATCCACTTGTTTCCCCATCTATAAAATGGGCATAATAGCAGTCTGACCTCATGGTGACCTTGTCAAATGCACTTGGAATAAATAAATGCACTTGGAAGAGCTCCTGACACACATGAAATGCTCAGTAAATATTAACTATTTAGCTATCTATGTGTCCTTGTGTCCTGGGCTGTTTTACTGTCTCTTGGGAGAATATTAGCAAGGCAAGTTTCTCTTTGTATGCTGAGCACTTTACATACATACATACTTTACATACTTCATCTCTCTTATTCCTTACAATATTGGGGTATCCTTATAACTATTATATAGATTGAAAAATCAGGCTCAACTGCAGAGGCTGGCCCAAAAAAAGTTATCAAGTTTATAAGAGGGGGACCCGGGATTTCTGGTCAGTCTGAATCTGAAGCCTGGTTCCCTACCTCTAGGGCCAGCGTGCTCAGCAGGTCCCACCCAAGACAGTTGAGAAGTTTCCGACTACCCATCCACGCCTTGCCATGTCACATGGGTTCTGGAAGCCCCAGTTCTGGACTGATTTGCTGTATGATCTAGGGCAGTTTGCTTATTTTAACCTCTCTGGGCCTCAACTTCCTCATCTTTCCAATGACAACAATGATCCCAGATGCCCTGCCCTTTAGTCAGAGGTGTGGTGAGAAAGATACCGGACTGTGATTGAGAAAGCAGTTGGGAATCGTGAAGTGCAGGGGCCCATGCACTGGATTGTTTTGAAAGTTTCTTCTGGGGGTGCCTGGGTGGCTCAGTGTGTTAAAGCCTTTGCCTTCGTCTCAGGTCACGATCCCAGGGTCCTGGGATCGAGCCCACATCGGGCTCTCTGCTCAGCAGGGAGCCTGCTTCCTCCTCTCTCTGCCTGCCTCTCTGCCTACTTGTGATCTGTCAAAAAAAAAAAAAAATCTTAAACAAATACTTAAAAAAAAAGAAAGTTTCTTCTGGGGTCGCATGGGTAGCTCAGTCATTAAGCATCTGCCTTCAACTTAGGTCATGATCCCAGTGTCCTGGGATGGAGCCCCACATCTGGCTCCCTGCTCTGCAGGAGGCTGGATTCTCCCTCTTCCATTCCCCCTGCTTTGTTCCCTTCTTGCTGTGTCTCTCTCTGTCAAATAAATAAATAAAATATTTTTTTTAAAAAAAGAAAGTTTCTTCTGAAAGCGTAAGTGTACAGAAAGAAGGAAGGAAGGAAGGAAGAAAGAAAGAAAGAAAGAAAAGAAGGAAGAAAGAGAGAATGAATGAAAGAAAGAAAGAAAGAGAGAGAGAAAGAAGCACAATTGTGCCAATTCAGTGCCCATTGGAGTGAGAAAGAGCTCCCCACTACCTCTAAAGAAAGAAAGAGAGAGAGAAAGAAGCACAATTGTGCCAATTCAGTGCCCATTGGAGTGAGAAAGAGCTCCCCACTACCTCTGGGAGTGGGGGGCACTGGAACCTCCAAGCACTTGCCTTCCCCCACTTGCCTTCCCGCCTCCCTCCCTCTGGGGGAGGGGAAATGATCCAAGCTGCTTAGTGCTAGCTTATAGAGTCTCTCCCTCCTGCTCCCCTGTATCCGGCTGGCTGTCCTGTCCCAGCAGCAGGAAGTGAGCTCTCCACAGCCTGCTAGGCCAACAGGAAGAGGCCAGGATGTGCAACCCAATTCCTGACTGCTCCAGACACCAATACTCCCACTTAACTCCTTGAGCAAGTGCCAAATTCCTCAGTGTCCCTATTTGTAAAACAAGGACTTCTGTTCCTTGAACGAACTTCAGGTGTCCCCGAAATGCTGGGAATATCAAATAGGACAAGAAGCATTCTGAATGCTGCTAGAAATAGCAAACTCTCTTTGCATAGCCTGCGATGCCCACACCAGGGCCACGAACAGGTCAAGCGCTTAGTAAATGTCAGTGGAAGTTGGCAGAGACAGGTGGACCTAGGTTCAAACATGTATGACCTTGAACAGGTGATTTCTCAGAGCCCCAGAGTTTCATGTGTCAAAAGCAAGATGATGATGATGTGCGTGTCTCATAAGGCTGCTGCAGGGATTAAATGGGAATAGAAGCATATATGATAGGAACATTGATGATTACAATTGGCTTGTGAGGATAAAGAAGAAGTTGTATATATGTGTATGTACATATGTGTACACACAGACACACACAGTGGAATATTACTCAGCCATAAAAAATGAACAAAATCTTGCTGTTCGCAACAATGTGGGTGGAACTATTGTGCTAAGTGAAATAAGTTAGTCAGAGAAAAACAAATACCATATGATGTCACTCATGTGGAATTTCAGAAACGAAAGAGATGAACATAGGGGAAAGGAAAAAAGAGAGGGAGGCAAACCATAAGAGACTCCTTTCTTTTAAAGATTTATTTGTTCAAGGGGCGCCTGGGCGGCTCAGTTGGTTAAGCATCTGCCTTCAGCTCAGGACATGATCCCAGGGTCCTGAGATCGAGTCCCAGATCAGGCTCCCTGCTCGGTGGGAATCCTGCTTCTCCCTTTCCCACTCCTCTTAATTGTGTTTGCACACTCGTAGTCCCTCTCTCTGTCAAACAATTATATAAAAATCTTAAAAAAAAAAAAAAGATTTATTTGAGAGAGCGTGGGCACCTGAGTGCGCATGCACGAGTGGGGGACGGGGCAGAGGGGGAGAGGGAGAATCCTGATTGGACTCCCCACGGAGTGTGGAGTCAGAGGAGGGGTTTAATCCCATAGCCCACAACCTTGCGATCACGGCCTGAGCTGAAATCCAGAGTCAGATGCCTCACTGACTGAGCCATCCGGGCACTCCAAGAGACTTAACTATAGAGGACAAACTGAGGGTTGCTGAAAGGGAGGTGGGGGCGGGGGGATAGCCTAATGGTGGATGGGTATTAAGGAAGGCATTTGTGATGAGCACTGGGTGTTACATGTAAGTGACAAATCACTAAATTCTACTCCTGAAACTAATATTATAAATGTGTTAACTAATTAGAATTTCAATAAAAACTTGAAAAATTAAAAAAAAAATTAGGGGCACCTGGCTGTCTCAGTCGGGGTGTGTGTGTGTGTGTGTGTGTGTGTGTGTGAGACTCTTGATCTCCAGGTTGTGGGTTCGAGCCTCACGTTGGATGTGGAAATTACGTAAAAATAAAATCTTAAAAAACTAACTTTTGAATCGAAAAAGATGAGTAAAACAAAGTCCTTGCTCTCAAAGACTGAACAGTTGTGGCAAATAGGATTTCTTTCTTTGGAGCTTCCTTCAGCGGATTGGCAGGGGCTGCCTACAGCTCTATGTAGAAGATTATAAAAACCAGATCTACTCTCAGCAGGAAAAAGGGATTGAGTATCCATGCCTGCCATGGGATGGGAGGGGAGATTGTGGCAGCAGGTGGACAGCATATATGCTGACCCCAATCAGGCTAGTGGGAAAGACACATAAGCAAAATCTTGGAGACAGGACAAGTGACTTGTCTGGGGAAGGCAGAATCAGGAGCCATTCACCAAGCCCTGTTATATCCAAGCCAAGCCTTGAAGGACATATGGAAGGAAGGTCACTGTAGACAGAGGACGCAGCCTGAGCAAACACACAGTGCCTGGGTTTGATGCTTTTGGCTGCAGAGATTAGACTGCCCAATCAAAGGGCTTTGACAATAAGGAAAATACATTACCTCTCAAGACAAGAAGTCCAAAGACAAGTGATTTCAGGGCTGGCTAACTGAGCAGCCCAAAACGGCATCAAGTCCCATACATTTTTTTTTTTTTAAAGATTTTATTTATTTATTTATTTGACAGAGATGGAGATAGATCATAAGTAGGCAGAGAGGCAGGCAGAGAGAGGGGGAGAAGTAGGCACCCTGCTGAGCAGAGCCCGATGTGGACCTTGATCCCAGGACCCTGAGATCATGACCTGGGCTGAAGGCAGAGGCTTAACCCACTGAGCCACCCAGATACCCGAGTCCCATACATTTTTTACTGTGCTGCTGTTATGGGCTGAATTATGCCCCCCGAATTTATAAGTTGAAACCCTAATACCTAGTACCTCAGAATGTGGCTGTTTTTGGAAATAAGGCCTTTAAAGTTGTAACTAAATTTAAATGAGACTGTCGAGTGGGCTCTAATCTAATCTGACCAGTATCCTGAGAAGAGGAAATCTGAACACACAGAGAGGTACCAGGGGCACATACACACAGAGGAATGACCACGCAAGGACAGAGTGAGAAGGCAGCCATCTACAAGCCAACGAGAGAAGCCTCAGGAGAAACCAACCCTGCCGACACCTTGATCTCAGCTTCTTGCCCCCAGAACAGTGAGAAAATACATTTCTGCTGTTTAAGTCCCCTGGGCTGTGGCATTTTGTTATGGGAGCCCTAACAAACTCATACAGTTGG